GAGCGATCTTGCTCAAAGCAGGAACTATTGCAAAGACAGGGCGTGCTTTTGACTCCATTTTCTGATTCCTGGAACAAGCAAATCAGGATACAGCTTTCTGACCAGCGTATTAGGAAGACGTTTTACTTTGTTTCCCCACAAATAAAACATAATTTTACCCTTCTGCAAATGGATCAGTGACTAAGCACCACTACATCTTGAAAACGTGGTTTAGGAAGTAAAGAATGTAATAAAAGTCAGCACAGATAAAGCCTTCCACCACCACAGCAATTCTGAATTCAGAGGTACTAGGTGCACAACGTAGAAACAGAAAGTATATAGACCAGTCCAAACTACTTCCCAAAGCATACATATTTTCCCTTTCTATACCATCTCTGCTGAACACGAGCATTATCCAGAACCTGACTACTCATGCAATGATGAACGCATGGAACAAACAGTGCAAGATGCCCTTCTTCCTTACAGATGAGCAAGCTTTTAAGTTGGTGTTGGCTTAATTACCCTCTGCAGTCGAAATAAGGCAAATATTATTGTAAAGCAGCCATATGTTTAAAGATGTACAAGTGTTGTACAAGAACTTGCTGATATCTGTAAAACAGACTATGCGCAGTCTGGACTTTGATTTTAGGCACATCAACTCTAACAACATCTATTTTACCCTTTACTTAAATAAATAAATAAACCCTAACCCCTGAAAATCCATGGCCCAAACTCACATTCAAGTATCAACATGACTTTTCTGTCATCCTTTAGATGGAAACTATAGAAGAGGCGAATAACAGATTGCCTCAACACATGAAAGATGACATACTTCTCAGATAAAAGCAGTGAAGTTATGCATGAACTCTTACATCCTTGCCTTCTTGCCCAAGAGGCCACTAATTTTGATAACCTGACAATTTTCTGCCAAATATTAAATGCTTTTTTTGTGGGGAGTCGGGGTAGAGGAAGGAGAGTCCTAGAACTGTGATATGGAAGCACACAGACCAGATAATTCTCTAATGATGAAGTTAAACTTCTGGGTTATATTTTGAATTTTGATGCGTCAACTTTTCATTATGGATTCTCAAATCCAGAATAGAATGCCAATTTCTCTTATTTTAAACTAATAAACATGTGAGAAAGAAACCTTCTTAGTCCTAAATGCATCCAGAAGTAAAATTACTTCTATTGCTATCTTGTGAGACAAATGTTCAAAAAACAGACAAAAAAAGAGCTGAGTGTTATGAGCAGCACAGAATCAGACAAAAACCTCCAAATGTTGAATGGACATGACCCAGTATATTGAACAGACTTGTCTCAGTATGGAACAGTTTATAAGCTTAAGGAATGTAAGGATTTCAGCTTTAAAGAGTCATTGTTTAGGCTCTGTAGTAGAATACAGATAAAGATATTTACAGAGAAAATATCTTTCTGATATTGTTTGATGGTGGAAAGCGTATCATGTTAGTGACAGGATTTCTCCCCAGTTCTCTGGATACAAAGCAGCTTGGTTCAGAGGCATCCATCAGTGGTCATCATTAATCTCTGTAGTAATAAGATCCACGCTCTTTAAAATAGCTGGCTGTTAGTTGAAGATCTGCCATCACACTAAAGACTTTCAACTCTGGAGTTACAAGGAAACAGATTAGATTTGTTCTATCAGCAGCGTGGGGACAAACTGTTAGTAGAACTCTAAAACCAGACTGCATCAAGAATTTAGGATAACTTATGAAGTGCTAATAAGCCAGGAGTGTCATGTCATTTTTAAAATTCTCAGTTGAAGACTCACTAATTAATTTATGGCCATGCACAAAGCACAACTTATTTTCCAGGAACTGCTGTTTCCTGCTGTTGAAGAGCTAACAGGCAAAACAATTCTGTTCCTATAGATATTATCTTCCTGTGTAAGAGTAGCTGATCCCGGTATTTATTTCAGTTTGTCAAAAAAAAAAAAAAGCCCTCTTTACAATGGGGAGCCTCAAACGTGTTAAAACACTGAAACAGAAGTTATCACTTTGCGTGAAATTATACCTCTTTGATAGCATAAGGCTTAGCCATTCACTAAAGTCCACAATTCTCTCCCCTTCCCCCAATGTCCCCTGGACAAAACCAAGTAACAATTATCACATCAAAAAAGGTCATCAATATGAACATATTCTCAGTCAGATTTGCAGTTTAATGCAATCATGACCAGGATAACAGTGATGAGAAGAAAGCCATAAAAATCTCCTTTAAGAGCAGAATTCCTGTCAACAGGGGCTTTAGGATTCATATAAAGCCCACACCAGGTTGCTGTCTAATGGACATGATCCTGAGGCTTCAGAAAAGCAGTAACATCAGAACATGCAGACATGCCTTATAACATTTAGGTCAAGTGAACTCTTAAAAACCTTTTCATTGACAAAGCTCCTTACATGTTCACCCTCTGGGAATACAGAATTACTCACGAGCTCTGTCAAACACTGAAACTCTACTCAGTTACAAGACAAAACTTCCCACAAAACATCCTTGTGACACCAACTCTGAAGGAATAGTAACATCTGTATGCAAACGTTGGTTCCAGCTGCTGGAACACATGCCTCCTTGGTACCAGAACAGGGGGGAAAAGATCCAACACTGAGGACATGGCTAGCACCTGGGAACAGGCTTGAAGCAGCTATTTTAATGAGGCATCTTTGGTATCCCAGACCAGGTACAGAATACTCAGAAGAATCCTGAAGCCTGAAGTACTTACACTGTTTCAAGGAAACTCCTACAACTAGATTTTATTATGGCATCCTCCTGTATGCACAGGAAGTCTCTCAATTCCCACAGGAATAAATCCAGAAAAGGCTAGTGAAAAACAATCACCCTACCTCAACTGGAAACCAAAACCTTGTAATAATGCATCACTTAATCCTAAATAACAGCAAAATACCAGCCTTCCTAGCTCCAGTAAACTGTAAGAAACCAAATCTTCTTCTTCTCTCCTCTTTTTTTTTTTTTTTTTTTTGGTAAGGTTTCACAAACCTGTGTGGGATATGAGATCCCACAATGTAAGACAGCTCTTGTTTTTCCAACAGAAATTACCACCTCACAGAGGAGGACCACATTTAACATAGTTGTTTAGGATTATCTACTGCTAATCCTAGCATTCATTTCCTTTCAGGGAAAACGAATACTGAAAATGGTAACAAGTAAAATTTAAAACAGAACTAATTCCTGCTCACTCCAACTCCCACATCATTGCAACACAAAAATACTGGGGACTTTCACTTCATAGTCAGATCTAGGCAGACATGACGCAAGAATTCAATTCATAAAATTCAAGGCTGATCTGTGGGATTACATACTTCAGAAAAGGTCTGTCTATATTAAAATTTAAGAAGTTGCAGAAGATTCTGAAAACAGATCTTAAAAAAAAAAGAATTCTTACAAGGTTAGACATTTATAAAGGGAATTTAAGACATTAAAAACATAAGAGGAGAAAACTAAATTAAGTTTTAAAGTAGTAAACTGACCTGTATTAACTCATCTTTTTGCATGATCAGAAGTTGTCTTAAAGCTATATCTCTTTCCTGTATAAAGCAAAGGGTTTTCTGCCATTAAAAAGAATTTCAGAAGAAAACACTTCTTACTTATTTCTTTTCCACTTGTTTTCAGAAACAAAAACAGCTACATAACACCATTATTGAAGTAATGAAAGAGTTCTCTAGTTTAGAAACATCACATTGTGACTAACGAACATAATCAAAATTAAGCAATCCAATCCAGTCCATTGCAGTTTAACTTAATGCTTTATATATAAACTTCTGTTTAATAAATTTATTTGAATTAATATACTAATAGCGACAGAAGGGTTTTTTTTTTTAACGCTGTAGGTGCATTTTGCTTTCATGGATTACTTTACAGTTAGCAGATACACCAGAAACTTACCTTCAATAATCCTATTATGTGTTCTAGACCAAGACCATGTAAAAACACTTCCATGTCATCAAAAGCTGAATAGGAACTGTAAATATAATTAATGAGATTTGAGATGAAAACAGTGGAAATAATAAAAAAAAAAAAAGACCCAGAACAAAATACTATAGAAAAGCTCCCCAGACAAAGCACTGGGGAGCAACTTAGAGCTGTACACACCTACAGCAGTATCTCATAAGCATCATGGGGTACAATTTAATCTATCAAAATTTTATAAATGGATTTTCTGTCTAATGAGTTGAATTGACCCTAAAGGGAAAGACTTTCATAAATAAATGTCATTTTAAGTAGCAAAATGTTCCAAATGAACCTTAAAGTTGGGTTGCAAATGCCTGAAAAATTTGGAAGTGGGGTTAAGCAAGATAACTATGTACTCTTATCAGATAACATTCATATAAATTGGATTCAGCCCACAGCTGTTACCCTTCCACCTCCCCTTAAACCAAAAAAGGTTTTCAAGAAAACAGGAGTATCTACAATTAAAAATAGTGGAAATTAGTCTGGTGAGAAATTTGTTGTCAGAAAAGTACTGTTCAGAAGGTAGACTCAGGAAGTAGTATAACCCACTGCAGGTTCAGACTCTAATATTTATAAACAAAGGTAAAATACAAATTTTGATTCCCCGCCCTACCACACGATATAAAAATATACGGGGAAAAAAATCTAAACAGCTTTCAACAATCAAGATGAACAACTGTAATGAACAGAATTAAACCAATAAGCAACTCATACACAATGCAGAAAGGACTACTGAAATTGTTACCGCAAATCTTCTGCCAAACCCCTGAGTTAAGAGACAGTTTGCTCCATGTTATTGTAGGCCCTGAAATAAAGGTTTGACTCCTTCTCACATCAAAGACTTAAAGAGCTCCTATTAAAATTTTTGTAGAAAAAGAAAAAGACAAAGCCCCACTCCCCAACAAACAAACCAACCAACCCCCAAATAAACCTCTCTGAAAATTATTCTGAACACATAAGAAAATATTTCAGGTTTGCACACTGAGAATCTTGTATTCCAGGATTTCTGGTATTTAAGTATACTTATCCCTTTACGAGGATGGACACCCTAAATCACCTATGAAGGAGTTCATGCAACTTCCATGTAAACACATCGATAATTCTGTGAGCATGCTTTCTGTCAGCAGGCAAATTATAAAACAAGTTTAAAATAATTTTAATAGAGTTTAATGCCATCAGCCCTATCACGAAGTTGTGTAGAATTGTGTTTTTTTCTGCCCAATTCCTCCCCCTTCAACCCACAGACAGCAACAACCAATCTTTGAAGTAAGCAATTCACATATACATCCAAACATGTATGTACAGCCAATGCCCTTCAACTGGCACAGGGAGACAGTGTGTGAATAACCTGCAATGATGAAATGTTGCTATTTAAGCATTCAAAGTGCCCAATTTTCAAAGGTTTTGGGAGTCCTTGTGTAACTCAAGACTTTTGGTTCTGCCAAAGGTACAAGGAAAGGACATTTTTTCCTCACTGCACGGTGGGGCACAAATGATATCCAGTACCAGATGATGCATTAGGAGCAACTGAAAGAACAAATACTTGGGAATACAACTGGCAATGCCTGTGATGAAAATTATGCAGGCAAGTGGCATCCAGCTCAAGGAACTATGATGCAGTAAACACAGGTATCAGTGTACCTCTTGACTATCACCAGATGAAAAAAAACCAACTCACTAGGGATTGGGTACATGTGTGCGTAGAAACAGATAAGCTGCATCTGTAAGAACAGGCATTTAACAGCCAGACATCTGCTATACTCCAGTGGACTGTTTCCTGAAACCAAGAGTTCTACTAATTACCAGAAATGCTCTAAGTTATGAAACCTCAGAACTAGCTATAGTTAATATAGTTAACATAAAAATCCTTGAGCTTGATGGCTTGTTCATTCAAACAAATCAGTTGCTCATCTGAGGCAAAGAAAACCTGTAGAGTTTAGAAAAAGGCTACTGAAACATTGTGAAATTCTGGAAGCCCAAGAATTGCCTAATACAGAATAACATTTGCCTAGCTAGTCATCTGGCTGCCACAAAGTATTTTAACTGTGCTTCAGGATTTCAGTGCCATGTTTTAAAAGCTTATCAAGATTACCCAAACACTGGTAGAATGTCCTCTAGCCACCATCAGGTTTCAACAGCACTAAATCCATTTGGATAACTGCTACATAGTGTTTATTTCCTTACACCAGAAAAATCCGGAGAAACTTCCTAAATAACCTAAACCTATTAAAGAAAGAGAGAGATCTGTTCTAACACTGAGGTCATTAAGTACAGACTCTATCTAAGACTGCAAGCCTTTGTGAAAGAGTACCAGAAGACCAATATATTTAAAAGAATGTCACCTTCACGGCAAGCGTACAGGGACTCAAAAGATGATGCCCAAGGAACAGACAGATCCCACAGGAGACCTAGTTCATAGATGGGGAGACATACCCAGAACAATGCCTTCAGGAATCTATGAGTAGTAAGATGCAAGAACAAAGAGGACATCACAGATGATTGATTTGACCATGCAAAGCCTTCATCCCTCTGCTCCAAGAAATACTTCTAAGATAATTGTGACTGATGTAATAGAGAATAAAAAACTGACTGACACACACATTCATCTAACAGAACCTTGTGTGGCTTTGTCCAGACTGAGGTACTCTGTCGGAGACTAAGACTATCTCAATGTGAACTGCTACCTAGTGAACTGCCATCAGCCTAATGATACAAAACTAGCGCATTTCAAATTCAGCACGACCTGGCTGAGCAGGGATGTAAAGAATCAATCCGACCAACCAGAACAGACTATGGGCACTGGAAGTTGTCTTCTCAAGACCATGCAGCACAAGCTCAAGGAGGCAAGCAAATGGCTTATTGAGGACTTCCTAGCCAACCTGTTCTGCGAAAAAACCATATCAGAGATCTTCAAAGTTGCTGAAGCAGGGGCTGATTTCAGTCATAGGACACCTGCAAGCTTCAGGGTTAGGAGCATCCTATGCAAATGTATATGCTACGCACATCCATGCATGGTATGCTATGCATGTCCTACGTTTTAGAGCTTAACTGGCATTCATACTTGATTTTGATTCTCATGTATGCAGAAAAAAAAGGAAAGGGCATAGCTCTTGCTGGTGGCATGAAGCTGAAAACGCATTCAGTGAAAGCATCAAAAATTTAACATCAGATGAAGACAACCACGCAACAAGTAGTATCCAACAGGGGAGTGTACAAATTTAAGAGAGCTGAAGTGAAATGAAGTGACATTGGACCCTGGCTCTATTATACGTTACACCAACTGAGATGAAGGGAAGATCTAGAGCATGCTCTTTGTTTATAATGCAAAGGAACTTTGCAATCTTGAAAAATTAATAGTGCATTAATATACTTACTGTGGACTGCTGGTAGCACTCCAAACAATGCACAATATATAACAGTACGACTTAATCATTGATATGAACAAATACAATCTCTAAGGAATGTTTATAAGCTAAAATTACACTATGACTGTATTTACCCAACTCTGTGGTCAGGGACAGCTGTCAGAAATTTGTAGATAGCCTCTTGCTTAATCGTTTCATGGTATTTCCCTTGCAAGTGATTTGCAGCCAAAGAGAGTAAACTATAAATCTGGAAGAGCCAAAATGAATTAATTATTATTCGAACTCAAAATGCATAAAGAAATACGCAGGAGTTAAGACTACAAAGAGTTCTACCATAAATTACTTTTTACAGGGAACATGAAAAATCTGCCTCTTCTTCTCTAAAGCTTACAACTACAACGAGGAGTTAAGACCCAGCCCACAGAGTTTATCAAGAGCATTTCTGAATTAACCAAATTCCAGCACAACAATGAACTGATGCAGAGCAAAACGGTATATATAAGGTAGTCTAAAAAAGTTAGCATCTGTCACCACTGAAGCAGCAATACAACATCATACTCATTTTTGTGGTTTGCAGAGAAGATTTCTACATACACAAGGGAATAAGTTGTCTAAAAAGCATGAGGCATATGACCATTTTAATGTCTCCATTTCCAGTGCATATATGGACCCAACATTTAGCTATTTACAACTGACAATCTAAGTTAACTATATCTGACAGACAGGGATTCTTTGAACTGATTAAAGAAGCAAGCCTTCTGCCAGACATCACTCCGCAGTAGTGATGGATTCCAGAAACTGAATTGCCCCTGTATGAGTTTTGAGATAGTTACTAGGGAATCCAGCAAAACAAGTAGAACCTCAATAAACCTAAAGGAGTGGTGAAACCACTTTCCTGAAATTCAGGTGAATAGCCAGTTTTATACACACATACACATATACGTATGTGTGGTAGGTTGATCCTGGCTGACAAATAAGCCCCTACCCAGTCACTCACTCACCCTCCCCTGCAAGATGGAGGAGAATCTAGAGGGTATAAGTGAGAAAAAATTAATGGGTTGAGATACATACAGTTTAATAAATGAAGGGATAAATGCCCCCAAAACCTACGTGATGCAAAGGTAATCACTCATGACCTCCCACCAGTAGACAAATGCCCATCCAGGCTCCAAGAAATGGCTACTTTGGAAGAAGACCCCAACAATTTTATCGCTGAGTATGACATTATATGGAATGGAGTATCCCATGGGTCATTTGGGGTCAGCTGTCCTGGCTGTGCCCCCTCCCAAACTGTTGCTCACCCTCAGCTTACTTGCTGGGGGTAGGGAGAAGAGTGAGAAACAGAGAAGGCCTAGATGCTGCACAAGCACTGCTCAGCAATACTGGTGGTGTCACCAACACTGTTTTAGTCACAAATCTAAAACACAGCACCACGCAGGCTGTTAGGAAGAAAAATAACTCTATTCCAGCCAAAATCAGAACAATATGTAAGAATATCTCTCCTCCCAGATACAGTTTCTGTATACATAGTCTATATGACAACCCAAGGGGCTATCAACAGCCTGAAGAGAAGACCCCCAAGCTGGAAGAAGCTCATGACCATTGAATATCTCAATACCATCCGAAGACTTTGCAGTAACTGTGTGAAACTTAGTGCTTCACAGGTCAAAAGGCAAGACCCACCTCTCAAGTGTGAGGAGCCTGCATTTCCTCCATGTCAGACAAAATCATGTTATAAGATTATATGGCC